CTCCACTCACTCTTGCACTTAGAGGTAATCTAGAGGCCATTAGGGTGGCCCAGCATGTTAGAATGACTCTGGGGAACACAAGGGTGAGAAATCTTGTCATTCCTATCTTGAGACACTATTGTCTAAGGTATAAGGAAAAAAACTTGGTTTACTTTATGTATTCACTTTATAAGTTTTATGACATTCAAAGGAAATATCATTGTGCTTATAAGCACCTACAAGGCCATGCAAATATGATCTCCCTTCTCTATCCCTTCCCCCATGTTCTCCTTCCACCTGTAGCCTCCTTGGTGTTTTTTGAACACACTTAGCGGGTGCCCATCTCTTGGCCTTTGAAGGTGGGAGATTCTCCACCTTCTATATGGATGGCTTTCTGCTGGACCTCTTTCAGTGCTCCACCCAGGAGTCATGTTAACACCGGGGCCTTCCCTGACTCCCCAGCTCAAATCCTTCTACCTCTCACTCTCCCGGTTCTGAGTCTCCTATTGCTTCAGCACTTACTGCCCCACACAACTTTGCATTTCAGTTTTTTATTGTTGACTGTATTTACTAGAATATGAAGTCCAGGAGGCCATGCATTTTTGTTTAGCTTGTTCACTGCTGTATTTCCCATGCTTACAACATTGCCTGATACTCAGTGGGCATTCAAAAACTATTATGTAGATAATTTAATGAATGAACTCAAAAGGATTCACTGAGCAATTACTATATCCTGGCTACTGTGCATAATAAAAGACATTTAAAGTAAAGAAAGAAGTAACCACCCAAACCCAATACTGTTGGTAAATTCTATAAAAGAAGTACTGGCATGGGGTACTGTGAAGACAAAAAGGAGGGAGCCTCACCCCAAGGGTGGAGACACTGAGCTCTGAATTACTGAATGGGTGGAAGAGAGAAGACCAGAGACACAAAAAGGCCATTGTAGAAACCACCAGCCAGAGGTGCAGAGATAGGAAAGCATGGCTTATGTGGTGAACTGCAACTCTTACAAAAGCTTGGACTTTCTCAAAAGCTATGGATGGACAAACTGAAGGATTTTTTTCAGCAGAGGAAAGGTATGAACCCATTAACCTTTTAAAAAGCTCACTCAGGCAGCACTGTGCAGAAAGCATTGAAAGAGACTAAAAGCAGAGTGGCCTTCGGGTGGATGCCACACTAGCTGGGTGACAGAGCAGAGGGTTTGAACAAGAACATAGCAGTGCCCCTGAAGATGCATTCTCCACTTGGAGCACAAGGAGGAAAGGATTGCCTTCATGCCTGAATAACACACATTTGGTAAAGATAATCCCTAAATGGGGACGAACATATTTCTTTAACTTACTTGCTCACCATATTCTACCTAATATTTTACATAATCTTTAGAAATGGAATCTAGCAGGGGTGCAGGTAAACAGGAAAGAAAATCAAGGGTAGTATGTAAATTTATTACTTGTTTGAGTTTTAACTTAACTTTGCGTACTCTCCATGGTCTTTTCTGAAAGATCATGAAAACCTTTGTGTAAAAGTCTGTCTGCAGACAAGTGAATTTTTCAGTGGCTCATTTGTTTTTATCTTTTGAATAAAGATATGTTCATTATGGAGTATCTTTAAATGAAAAAAAGTTTATACATTTTACAACATCTAGAACCTATATTGAAATGAGTATATTTTCAGGTTCAAATTGTATTTCAACACTTCTGGAGTTAAAGAAATATAGCTTAATACATTGAGATTCTGAATGTTACACAGTTTTTAATATTGAGACATATGCAAATAAATTCTTTTGAAAAATAAAAGAGGCCAGATTATTCTCATTTTCATCAGTTGGATACAAAGTATATCCAAGCATAAAGGTGGCCACCAAAAAAATGTCTAAGAAAGAAACAATTCATTGATTAATAAAAATAGACTAAAAAGACTGACTCTTTGGCTTGAAAAACTATTTGATCCAAACTTATTGTCATGGGGATAACAGTAATGTAATTATTTTAGAAATCTTAGAACACTAGAAAATTGACTTTAATTTTAGGAATAATAAGAAGCATTAGTTTGACCAGTAAATAATGAACTTAAGACATTTTCCTCCAAGTCATTATTCATAATGAAGCAAGATGAAAATATAAATAGGAAGAAAGATTAGATAAGTTAGTGAGTGGTTCTATGACATTTGCCCATTATTTTATATATTTATGTTTGTACTAGAAACCACAAAATAATCAAATGTAGACATCTTAATTAGCTGGTAGCAACATACTGTAACTTCAAAATCAATTTTTGAGCAGTGAAGCCTTCATTTATAAGCTTAAATTTCATGACAACAATATCACAGATATATAATGGGATTGTTAATCTAAGGATACTCAAAGCATATACATAAAAGCAACATCTTAATCGGTAAAATCATTACTGGCGTGTGTGTGTGTGTGTGTGTGTGTTTATACTTTGATGTAGGTGTCCTATATTCAACTCTGCTCTACACCCAGTCTCCTTTCAGGAAGGGCTGACACTGCCCTTGGCTTGCTACCATTTTTCCTGCCAACGAAATGAAAGGAGAATATGCACATTTTTGGTAGTTGAGAATATATCCTTGGCAACATAGTTATGAATAATTCACAAGACATGTACTCACAATTCAAAATTAATGATATAGTTAAAAACTGCTTGCATTTTTAGAGTTTAACAAAAATAGAGTAGTTTCCTAAGAGTGAAGAATAACATATTTACTTTCTTAATAGCAATCCTTTGACTTTCATTAAACATTGTGCTAAAATATACAATTAATGTAATTTTATGGATTTCAGAGTTATGAGGAATCTTTCTAAATGTCTGATCTAATGTGATCATGCAACAGAGACCAAATTAGAAAATATCAGATATGCTAGTTTCTAGATAAAATACTTGATTTAAAAATTGCTCTTATTTTTATATGAAGTATCCCTTCCAGGGTTATACATCAATGTAATGAAATATTCAATTTTGGTGAACAATATTTTTTCAAGTGGCAAAGTTAGGTTTATAATGGGAAACAAACCTTTTTGAATGGAACATATACATTCTCAGTCTAAACATTGAATTAATGTGCTTTTTGTTATATGATTTTCTTTCTAACATCAACATTTTAAGAAGTAAAATACTCTGGGGACACTTGGGAAAATGGAATCATAGACAGTGATAAAATCCAAATCTTTCTTTTACTCTCAGATCTGTAACTACAACTTTCAGACTCTGACTTTACTCAGCATTAACATTCATTTCCCGAACAATTTACCCGAGTGAGGAAATGATCAAATATGTTTATGTGCTAAGGGGAAGGAAGCAGTGGAGAGCAGGCGGCTCCGATATGGATGCAGGGATAATTGATTTGCTCAAATCCCCACGGGCAGAGAGGCGAAGATGCAGCACGGACAGATGCATTCGCCCTGCACAGGAGGAGGGTCTCGTCTTCCTCTGACAGAGCAAGTGCTCCAATGGGTTTGAGTTGGTGAGAGACATGATGTTCAGGAATTTATACCTGATAGCCTCTGTTTTCTCCATAACATCTAGCCAGGGAGAGTTTTAAATAGAAGGAGTGAGTTGGGGGGAGGTTGTCTGACCACACAGATACATCAGACAACCGGCTCATTAAGAAGTTGGTTGGTTGAATAAATCTAAAAGGAATATATAAAGGTGATGTCGTGCATGTGCGTTCAATTACCTAAAGCTGGTTGTATGAGGAAATTGTTAGTCTTCCTGTGAGGATTATGAAATAATTTATGAGAACAGATTTTTTCAGTGTCCCTAAACATTGTATATTTTTAATTAAAGAAATTGTGTATGACCAGTTCTTCCTCTAATGACCACTCTACCACTCATTTAATGTCTCTGACATGAATGTAAGATGCCGATTAACTGAAAAGTAACGTATTGAAAATAAGCTAGTATTAGTTATATGTAGTTCAACAAAGAGCTTTTTGTATGAAATTATAGAGTATAACTTCATTATAATATACTACAATTGAAGGTATTTTTTTGAACAAATGGAAGAAAAATGCTGAATATTTTAATGTTAAAATAGACACCAATGGTCAGGTTATAGCTGTACCTCTTTGCGCTCATTTCCACGGTTCTAAATAAAGCCACCAGGATCCCAACCTGACTTTGTGGTTGAAAAACCGCTATGTCTCAGAAGGGCTGCATTTCCATTTTGTGTGTAAATATTGCCATTCATCTTCCTAAACATTGTATTTCTTCATCCCTCCCCTGCCTTTCTCCATAGTGTCACAGTCCATGCAGCAGCTGATGGCATTTTGTTCCTTTTATGAAACACTCTAGGTGCCACAGTGGACCTTGCCGTCCCCTAGTTTGTAAACAAGTGGTTGTACAGGTCAATTGCCCACATTTCATAAGAAGAAGACTAGAATAACATGCTTATTTATAATACTGTTCAATTATTTTCTTTGCAAATCTGCTTACTGAGGTTTTGAAGATGCAGAAATCATTTAATGTGACCAGTTACTGGGGAATTATGTTGTATTTTTTTTCCTTATTTAATCTTTACTGTATTTTTTTTCCATTACCATTTAGTCCCCTTATATCCCCATCCTCCCAGCAATCACCACACTGTTGTCCATGTCCAAGGGAGGGGTGGGAGTGGAGGGATTAAGCCAAAAAGAAAAAGAAAAAGGAAAAAGGACTCTCACTGCAGTTTAAATGCTTCTGACAGCAACCCCTTGAGCTTCCTAAATGAGACTGATGTGATAGATATGAAGGTATTTGAAGGAACAGAGGTGCTGGGATAACAAAGATTCTTTTTTAAGGAAAAAAATCAGAATCTTACTGCATGTGCTTAATGTTCTTCAAATGAGAATAAGAGAGCAGAAAAGATCTCTTACGTACTTCCAACTGAAAATTTTCATTTTTCTTGATGTACAAAACATAAGAATATTTCAACACAGCAAGAAGAACCTTATAGAATAGCACAGTTTTAATTGGTCATTTAAGTTTTAAATGCTTATGTTAATTGAATTGATTTTTCTTTTTAGGGTCCTATGGGGCCTCCAGGACAAAAGGTAGAGTATAAACCGTGCTGCGAAAGTATCAATAATTATGCTCCCGTTGCCAAATGACAAAGCATGAGGGGTGAATGGGATCAGCTACTGTGAGCCATGACAAAGTGGCCTGGTGTATGCAGTCTGCTTTATAAAAATACAAGTCATATTATGTGAGCCATTAGATTTCTAATCAGTTTCATTATAGAAAATCCAATAAATCCAGACTCTTTTTAGGCTGTCTGCCAAACTTGTAAGTTATTGAATTTTTTAATTTAAATACTGATAAAGTGTGACAAAACTTAGAATGTGAAGGTTCGTACAACACTGCAAATTAAACACGTGGCATTGCTCAAATATCTGACTCATATGACCATAGAACTGACCAGAACCAAGGACACACTTGTTGCTTGGTGACTGTATTCAGGCAGCCCAAGAGTGTCTTCCTTTGCTGAGGTAACCTGGAAAATAACTTCCTGATTATCATTGTTATGATATATGTTATATGTAGTCATCAGAATTGGGCATTATATTCTGATGGAGGGGAACTACTATTTCTAAAATTACATCAATACTTCGGTAATAACTATATCAATAGCAAGTAGGTGGCCCTTTGCCAACAAAGTATCACTAAGTCCCCATTCCCCATTACACTCCCCACCCCACAAGGGGGAAAAGAGGATATTTAACCTGCAGAAAACGAAAGAAAACAATTGTATTACAACAGGTGGAAAAGTGATTATCTTTATCTTTGGAATCCATCAAAGATAGAGACTTTTTATCCCTAAGCACTGGGCATGTGGCATCTGTTGAAACTTAATCCAAACCAAGTAAAAGCCAGTGAGTTGTGACATGGCTTGTGTATAGGAGGAACACTTTGTCCTTCGCAATAATGTCTCTATTAAGCTCGGTGTGAAATTGTAAAGCCCCCTGATCCACATGCAACCAGGATAAAATTACTGCCTTGGGCTCTGGGAAGTGCTTTAATGGCCCACTCAATCTCACTCACCCTGAAAGCACTAAGGAACTTGCCATCTCAATTTGTTTTGCATATAATGACTATATTTTTAATCAACTTATTTTTAGGGCAGCCAGTTTATAATTACTATATTTTAAATTTTTCCACTATTATTAAGAAATTTAGTATCATATATCTACTAAGAAAAACCTGTTTTCTAGTGGTGGGGAAAGAATAAGCACATTTTCTCTCAAAATGGGCTCTCCAGAGCCTACACAGGAAGTGTATGAAGGGAAATGACATCACTGTTTGAAAACATTTGTTAATGTCACTATATCCAGCTCACTGTCAGAGATTTTCCTCAGGTAATAGTTAGCTCGCTTATTCCCAGTTCACTCCACATGTGTCTGGCCACTGGTACTCACTGCAGTGTACGTGTGCACACAGGTCCGAGCACGTGTGCACATGAACTCACACTTAATACTTTTATGTAAAGAAGTTGTGTTGTTCCTCATCAGTGTTTAACATTTGTAACATCTTTTCTAGTCTGCTTTGCAAGACGTATTCATACTAGCGTGGCTTACATGTACTCCCTGAAGGTCTGGGGGGAAGTGATGCCGATAACAACAAATTTGAGTTTACAGCATGGGTCACTTATTTGACTAATTGTGAAACAAGTGGTAGTTATTTTAATTACCTTTTGTTTCATGGTATTTAAACTCATGAAATTCAAGAGTTGCTGCTACTGCTAAGCTTTTTCCAGATAGAACTAAGCCTATTATTTCCTAAAAGCACCCAAATTTAGAACCATGTGACCTTGTGATAACCATAGATCTCGATAATACAATGTCACTTTCTTGAAAATCTTACTACAGTTACAGGGATATTTAGATATATGGTTAAATTTAACTCCATAGTTTCTGCGAACATTATCATATGTTTGAACACAGTGGATAAGGACTGAAAAACATAGCCTCCCAGATATGTTTTAGCAAGGTAAAGTTATGGTTGACATAACTAATACAATACAAATTTAGAATAGAAATATTTTGTAATTGTGATAGCAGTTTAATCTAATTATGTGTCTCCTTAGGGTTCTGTTGGAGCACATGGAATTCCAGGGATGAATGGGCAAAAGGTGAGTACTATAGATCACAGTATTTTTGATCATTTTGAGATGACTAAAATCACAAAATTATTCTAGACTGTAATTAGTAATAAGTTTTATTACTAATAAGTAAGTTTTACTAATTACTAAGTTTTATTTATAGAGTGCTCATAAACACTCTATAAATACTTTGGAAACAAGAAAATTATCATAACAATGGTTGAATTAGTTAATTTTTAAAGATGTATTAAATAGAAACTTAGAAAATTTTTCATTTTATTTTGATAATTTATATAAAATATATAACTGTATCTTTTTCATAAATACATATGATATAGGGAAAATGCTATGTTTAACATAAATTGTGATGAATAAAATGCACTCTAGTTATTCTTGTCATTACAAAAGCAACATGCATTATTTTTCATTAACAAGTTATTCTTACTAGAAATCTATTGAAATCTGAAGTCAGAAACAAGCTCTTTTTACTGGTAAGCAAAATTGGGAGTTAAATAGACTTGTCAAGCTCTGGTCATACACTTTTATTGTACTGTTAATAATGAGGGGGAATAAACTGAAACACACACACGCACAACTCTCCATAGACATATCTGTGTACACATATGCTTTTATCCCTACAATGTACTTACTAGCAGGAAAAACACCTAGCTTTACCCTACAGCCAGGTCTGGTATCCTGTGTCCCCCAGCAGTCCTGACTGGCTCTTCAATCTGGAACCTCTACAGAGACCAGGGAAGCCGTGGCTGCAGCTATTAAAGCCACTAGCTGAGCCAGTGTGCTGGGAGCTAGGGAGCTGAGCTGGGGACATTCCTGTCTCCCTTAGAGGTTTTGGACTGGCTCTGTGAAGTCCTGTGATCCATCAGCTTGTCTTCCCAGAAGATTGTAAATCCATGCACTCTGGATTAAATTCTGAAATTGTAAGGAACCCAACACTTACAGACAGAATAAATCTCTTCATGACCTTCTTTAACTCATCTTTTCTTCTCTAATAATATGTAAACAATCACAATTTAAAATCTACTAATGAGCCCTGGCTGGTGTAGCTCAGTGGATTGAGAGCCAGCCTTCTAACCAAAGGGTTGCTGGTTCAATACCCAGTCAAGGCACATTCCTGGGTTGCGGGCTAGGTCCCCAGTAGGGGGCACACGAGAGGCAACCACGCATCGATGTTTCTCTCCCTCTCCTTCTCCTTCCCTTCCTCTCTCTCTAGAAATAAATAAAATCTTTTAAAAAATAAAATAAATAAATAATAAAATCTACTAAAGAGACCATGTGAATTTTGGCCAAGTCTTTGAATTCTCTGGCCTCAGTTTCCTCATCTGCAAAAAATAAAAGAGAATAGCAAAACCTACTTAATAGGATCAGAGTGAGGACTAAATGAGTGAACAGACAAAGCCCTTATGGCAGTAATCCAACTATTAAACTTCTCCTTCATTGCATTTGAGTGAAATTCTGGAAATTGAATTGACCTGTGGTTGAAAAGAGGCTATTTCCAGAATTACGCAGTTACCAAGTGAAATCAATGTTCTCCACCAGGACTTATGGTATCTCGTAGTCCACCAACCAAACGCTGCACCCTCAGCAGTGGTGGACTGCCTCCCCACGCCACAGCTCTGCTTTCTGTTGAGTAAAAGGCATGTCCATTTGTTTTGCAAGTCCTGGTAAAGAGAGAAGATTGACTTTCCATTTAGAACACTGCAGATCAAGAAGGGAAACATAAGCAAAAATTCAGAAGTGTGTTCATTTGAAGATGGATTTGAAAATTACATAACTCAGAATAATATTTTAAAAGGACAAAACATGGATATAGAATAAACATTGTTTCTAACATTGGTGAAAAGCAAAACTTATACTTAAGGTTAGTGTTCTCCTTCTTTGTTTCTTTTTCAACTTTGAGACAATCATGAAAATTTATAGAAACCTTTCACCTGAAACAAAACAACTTTAAAACTGTCACATATATGCTTAGGAAGACTGCATATTCTTTAGTTTTTGCAAAGGAAATACGCAATTTCCTTAGCAAGAGAAAGGAATGTGACATGTCCTTGTCCTAGTCACCAAGTTTAAATTATATTTCAAGGACATAGTTAATATTTGTGGTTTCCTGTCTTGTTATACATCTTTGTGGCATTTTAAAGTGTTTTGTAAAACCTGGGGAAGCTAAATGATTTCACACTTACATGAAGGTATCAGTGAAATGTAATTTAAAATTGTTTTTCCTAGTCTGTGGAACTTAAAACTTTGGGTGTGGGGTTTCTGTTGATCCCAGTCATTATCTAATGTTTGTAATATTCGGTATGTCATCTTTAGGAAAATAAAGTGCACGAAATGAGTCTCCTTCACTGAAACAGCAGGTCATTTAGATAGTAAAAACAAAGTTGGAAATTGAGTAATAGTTCTATACTTAAAGCATATGAAATATGTCTTGGATCTCTAGAATTTGCTTCTCTAAAACACAGCTTACAATAACATAAATTTTTTAAAAATGCACCTCAATGTCTTTAAACTGTCTTGAGAAAACATCTTTTCCACATTACAATTTTACTTTTTCCAACTATATACTTTTAATGCTTAGAAAATAGTGTTTAGACAGTGGTTAAGGAAGGATATAATTTCTAAGCCATCAGTGTGGTGATTGCTAGGGGAGGGGCTATAAGGGGACTAAATGATAATGAGGAAAATATATAATAAAGATTATATATTAAAAATTTTTTAACAAAAATAAAGTAATAAAAAGTAAAGAAATCTTCAGCATAAAAAAGAAGTATGGCAGATATGTAGAAAATAAACAATTTTTCTCCTATATAAAAAAAGAAAAGTAAACTACTTTAAGAAAATGTTTTGTATGTTTTCTACTAGAACATTTTCCATTCATTCAGATGAACAGAATCGGTGATTGGCTTTGACTAATCAGTTTGGTGGTGACATTTTTTTTTTACTTCACATTTCTTTTTTACTACTTTCCTTTAAATTTTGGTCATCCTGATTGCTAAGCTGAGCATTGCTTATTTTTGTAATGGTCTCCCCCATTCTTCAGATTGCATTAGGGAAGAAGACTTACATGAGGAGTAATATGGCAGTGAATTCCACTCTAGCTCTTTCTGGTATCACCGTCTCCAAACGGCCCCTCGGCCCACCCTGTGAGCAGTGGGAGGCCCTGTGGGGCGGAGGCAGGGGCCTGGACTCTGCAGGCAGGGGGACAGAAAGCTGCAAGTCCCTGTCCCCCACCAGGCAAGGCAGCGAATGTTTCTAACTAAGGCTTGTGTGTAAAATACAAATACAGACTGTGCAGTATTAACTAGATGACATCTCTAAAGTGAACATAATATAATAGGTGCTCAATAAATGTGATCAAATATCTGTAACAGTATCATACTTCAAGAGTTTCAGCAAACGAGCCCTCTCAAGTAGGGAGCAGAAACCAGTTGACTTCATGATGAGGAGAAAATGAAAATATAAAAGTATACATAAGTTTAATATATAAATATATGATATCTAAATATAAATATTAAATGTTTCTCTGTCTGGCTTCCCCCTATCCCTGCCATACACACATGCCCCATACTAGGTAGTTAGGATGTAGGTACTAATACGGGAAAGAGAAGGACACATCTCCTATTACCTGCGAGCTCAGGCACCAGCATGGGGCAGCAATGCAGGAGCACAGTCCTGGAGTCAGGATACTTACTCTGTGGTCTTTCACTTCACAGGCAGCCTGTGAAAGGCCCTTTTCCTCTCTGGGTCAAGTGGCTTCATTTGTAAAGGAGAGGTGGGGGCTGTACTAATTTATCTCTATGGGCCTAAGTGATACTGTGTATCTACAAAAGGTCACACATGTCTCATTCCCAATTCAACCAGCTTCTAGCATCTCCATTCCCAGTTTTGAAAGTTGTTTCCGTAATTTCGATTTGTTTCTAACAAACAGCTGAAGCAATTAGAGAAGATTTAATGCTGTCTTACCTAAAAATTTGAAGTGTTGTCCTCTTCTTCTGTATTATATTGGACACAAAAATTTTTGTAATTCTCATGAATAGATCTTGTTGGCACAGGTATAATTGACATTTTATTTGTACTCCATGATTCCTTCACTCTCTCTCTGTCTCTCTCTCACACACAGACATCTGAATATGTGTCAATTAAACCCTACTTCTCAGATACACTGGGGAAGTATGCGGGCTTTTAAAAATGATTTTATGGTAGGCCTTTTTAAAACTGAAGCGTCCTTTGACAAAAAAAAATTGGTAATACATGTCAGAACTTCTAACATTTCACCCCTTAATAGGTGTAATTAGAACCCTATATTTTTCTACTCTTTCCACATTTTCACATTAATTGGCACCCATAAGAATAAATCATCATAATGACAATTTATCTGAATAGCAATCAGTGCCCAGGGCTGTGCAGATGTCATAGAGAGGAGGTCTAGGGAGGAGGGAGGGTTCTGTACAAGTCTGATTTCCACATCTGTTAGTTTACACCATCGTTTCTTTGTTGCAATGAAAATATTAAACATTTTCAAAATTAAAAACAAATTATTTTTGTCTAAGCAAGCTAGAATTTTTTTGAGTTCTCTGAATTACAGGGATTGTTTCCAAAGCAAAGAGAAATATCAGGTGAACTTGTTTCATGTATTTTTCAAGTGTTTCCTAGAATTTGTTATTTTTAAGACTTCAAAATAAAATATGTTAAATATTGCTATTCATGTATCACCTATGAATTTATCCCAGATAGCAATGAGATTTTTAGTCACATTAAATTTTCATTAGTTTATGGTATTTACAGTTCCTTTTCATCTCTTATCCATGGGTCTCACAGTTCTTCACTGACATTCATCTTCACAGCACACTTCTAATGGCATTTTTATTGTAAGTATATTTAGCAAGCAGATAAATTGAAGCTCTCAGACTTCCAAAGGTCAAGTTGTTTATTCATGTCTGTACAGTGGGCTATGCAGTGAACTCAATATTTTTTATTCTTGAATTACTTACTGTAACCACTAAATACACTCT